TCTGAAGGCATGCCCTGACTCTTGGCCTGCTTTTGCAAGGCAGCAAATTCTTCTTTTCAGCCAGCTGCTCCCCGGATATGAAAGAACCCTGCCTCCCCTCCCACCCCCCCAAGTGCTGGAAATAGCATCCTGGCTGCCCCAGAAGTGCAGAAGGGCAGGGGGGGTTTAAAGCCTCCCCTCCCACCCCTGTCACTTTGGTGTAGTCCTAGTACCATAGAATCGTGGAGTTGGGTCTCTGAGGGTCATCTCGTCCAACCCCCTGCAATGCAGGAATCTCAACTCAAGCATCAAGACAGATGGCCATCCAACTTCTGCTTTATTTTTATTTTTCTTAATAGTTTTTATTAAACTTTACATTTTTATATTCAACACAATCATCATTATTACAAAAAACCATATGCAAATCCCAGTCTCCCCCCAACCACTGTCTTCCCTCAACTTCCTTTTCTGGTTCTCTAAATATTTGTTTCCTCTGCTTATTTTGTTCTACCTTAATTTGTAATCTTTTAGCTAAATATCATTGCATTCACATCATTTTTATACCGTATTTCCCAAATTACATCTTACGCTTTATTATTTTCCCAATTATTGCCTCTTAACTTTTATGTTTGTTTTCTTAATTGTAAGTGCTTAGTCAAACCCTGCTAGTGAGTCTACAGTGGTGCCTCGCAAGACGAAAAGAATCCGTTCCGCGATTCTCTTCGTCTAGCGGTTTTTTCGTCTTGCGAAGCAAGCCCATTGACAGCTTAGCGGATTAGCGCTACAGCTGTCTAACGGCTTTTCGCGATCAGCTGTTAAGCGGGTTATCAGCGGAACAGCTGATAGGCGGCTTAGCGGCTTAGGAAAAGGGGGGGGGAGTGAAAAAAACCCACGGGGACACGCAAGATTTTTTCGTCTTGCGAAGCAACCCCATAGGGAAATTCGTTTTGCGAAGCGCCTCCAAAACGGAAAACCCTTTCGTCTAGCGGGTTTTCCGTCTTGCGAGGCGTTCGTCTTGCGGGGCACCACTGTACTTCTTTACAGTGTTTCTGTAGGTACATCATAAATGGTTCCCAGACTTTTTAAAAATCTCTATTGTCTTTGTCTATTGTTTTCCAGTAAGCTTCGCCATTTCAGCATAATCCATCAGTTTTACTTGCCATTCTTCTTTCGTTGGTAGCTTGTTGTCTTTCCATTTTTGGGCTAGTAATAGCCGTTGCTGTAGCGTACGTGAATGGTTTCTTCCACTCTTTTGGCGAGTCTTGACCTGTAATGCCTAGCAAGAAAGCTTCTGGTCTTTTAACAAAAGTTATCTTAAACATTTTTTTCATTTCATTGTAAATCGTTTCCTAGTAGCTTTTGATTACAAGTCCACCACATGTGATAAAACGCGCCTTCCTTCTCTTTACACTTCCAACACTTATTGGAGCTTGTTCTATACATTTTTAACATTTTTACAGGAGTAATATACCATCTATACATCATTTTCATGTAATTCTCTTTAAGAGCTATACAATCAGTGAATTTTAACTTCAATTTCAATACTTTCCCCCAATCTTCCATTTGTAAGTTATGTTCTAAATCTTGAGCCCATTTAATCATTACACAGTTAACCTCTTCATCTTTGGTTTCCCACTCTAACAGTGGACTATACATCTTCTTCAGTGTTTTTGTGTTATCATCTATAATTTCTCTTTGAAATCTGGATAAAGTATAGCTAAACCCTTTCTTACTATCTTCTTTAAATATCTAATTTAATTGATAATACTGCAGACAATCATTTACATATTCTTGAATATCCTCAAGCTCTTCCAATTTTAATTTCCCTTTTGTTTCTATTAAAATATCTCTATATGTAGGCCATTTTTCTTTCCTGTTTACTTTTCTTATTGATGTTGCTTCCATTGGTCACCGCCACCACGGGGTCTTCTGTTCCGATAGATCTTTATATCTTTCCCAAACTTTTAAAAGTGATCTCCTAACTATATGGTTATAAAATCCTTTACGTACTTCCCCTTTGTCATACCACAAATACGCATGCCGTCCAACTTCAGCTTTGAAACCTCCAAGGAAGGAGAGTCCACCTTCCGAAGGAGTCCATTCCACTGTCCAGCAGCTCTTACTGTCGGAAAGTTCTTCCTGATGTTGAGTCGGAATCTCCTTTCTTGTAAGTTGAAGCCATGGGTTCATGTCCTGCCCTCTGGAGCAGAAGAGAAGAAGCTTGCTCCACATGTGGGATGGTGGGGAGGTTGTGAAAAGGAGCCACGAGGTCTTCTGAAGATGCGGGAAGTAATTTCCTGTTGAGTTTATGGCGGTGGTGCTTCCTCTGTGTGGCATCCCTTAAGATACTTGAAGGTGAACCTCATGCCTCTCAGTGTCTTCCAGGCTAGACATGCCCACCTCCCTCAACTGTTCCTTATCAAGCATACTTTCCAGACCCCTTTACCATCTTGCTTGCCCTCCTCTGCACACATTCCAGCTTATCAATATCCTTGTTAAATTGTGGTGCCCTGAAGCGGGTCCCTTCCAGCTCTTAACCATTCTGTGATCCTAAGTGGGCACGAAACTCTGAGGACGGGGGCCTGACCAAGGCAAAATGGTTAAGTCCAGTCCAAGGCAACTACGGGGTTGCGGCGCTCATCTCACTTTCAGGCCGAGGGAGCCGGCGTTTGTCCACAGACAGCTTTCCAGGTCGTGTGACCAATAGGACTATACCGCTTGTGGTGCAACGGGACACCGTGACGGAAACCAGAAACGCCGTTTAGCTTCCCGCCGCAGCGGTACCTATTTATCTACTTGCACTGGTATGATTTCAAACAGAGCAGTCCAGACCACTTCTAGCGCAACCTTGGTCTGTGCAGCTGTGCCTTCGTGTGGAATCTCACGGAATTGCTTATTGCATCCTTACTCCAAAGACATCACAATGGTCTGGGCTTATTCTGACTTCATGAGAACCTGGAGGGGGAGAGACTGGCCAAAGGCCGTGTCTGATGGGCCTGAGCCCAGCTTCCGCATCCCCTGTGCCACCCTTGCCCCCTTCCCCTAGGATTGATTGAGGCCACCCAAGGTCATCTAGCCCAACCCCTTGCAATGCAGGCATCACAGCTGAAGAATCCCCATCAAGTGGCCCCCCCAACCTCTGCTGAGAAACCTCCAAGAAAGGAGAATTCACCGGCTTCTGAGTGAGTCGGTTTCACTGGGGAGGAGCACGGAGTGTGCCTGAAGTGTAATTCAGTATAAATCGAGTAAATAAAAAGCAAGGGCCGCCATCCAGTTTTGTTTGGTGTGGAGGTTGCAGGCCACAAAGGAAAAAATAATTTTGTTTTCTTATATCGCCCTATATTTCAGAAATAATTTTATCTAAGGTGTAAACCGAATGCAACCATGATTATGCATATGTGTGGCCTGATTTCACAGGCTGCAGAAATGTAAGTTCATGTGCATCTCTGCTTCCATTTTATTTTTAAAGCAGGTTACTAGTCCTTAGTATGCCTGCAGAAACATGTCAGCTGGGTGGTGAAACCTGCGGGAGCTTCAGAAGCCAGAGCAGTGCCTGAATAATAAATACTGGGGGGTGGTGGAGTGAGCAGTGCAGCATCCTTTCTCCATGACTAACCAAAGTATACCAAATGCCAGAAACTGGAATAAATTAAGGGAAATAAGAAATGACGCAAGCGGGAAATGACGCAAGTGCAGAATTATTTTGTTTTGCGAAGGGTCCTCGCAGCCCTCCATGAAACTTCAATGGGTTTGCTGCTGCACATGGAGGATGGAGAGGTGGCCAGTGTCCGCCTTCACAGGGTTGCTCCCTTGCTCCCTGGTCTGTGGGCAAGTGACCTCAAGACCTGCCTCTGTCCCATTTTCACTGAGAAAGCTAATGGTGGTTGGCTGACCGTTGTGCCATCCTTCTCTGGAGGCCCAGAAACACCTCGTCATCTTTGCTACATCTCCATGGCAAATTCCTTGAGTATGTGAAGGACTCCCTCTTGTCTAGCCTGAGTCTGCCATCTTCCCAATTTCATTTGAGCAAAACTTCCTTCTTTAATTTTATATCTCTTGGGCACTTTTGGACAGATTTGCTCCCACAAGTCTGTAGCGGAGAAGTTCCTTGTTTGCTTGTTTGGTTCTTCTATTCTCCTCCATTTATATTCTGCTTCCCTTCCAAGGAACCCAAGGTTCCTTGCCTGCTTCCCTCCTCCAGTTTCCTTTCCTCACGACAACCCTGCGAGGAGGGGTGGCCCGTCCTGTTGGCTACTGGAGGTGAAACAAATGTGCTGCCCCTTGCACCCCCTTCCGCCACAGGTGGAATGCCCCCCTGCATTCGGCAAGAGCTGGGGTGCCGCCTCTTGCACTTCTGCCGCCTGAGACCGGTGCCTCACCCTGCCTAATCAGTGGGCCGGCTCTGCTGTGAGACTGGTGGGGCCAAGGGGGTGGGGAAATGGCCAAGGTCACCCAGGGAGCTTCAGATCTACCTGACCCAACATCCTGACCGCTACTTCCCACTCTCAAGACCAAATCACCCACATATGTCTATTTTGATTTTCTGTGTGTGTGTGTGCATGTAGGTACAGACAAATAGATTATGGCACCTATTATACCTAGAAACCAATGGATGTAAGTTGCCATGACTATTGACTTCAATAGGTTGACGGAGCAATCCGAAAGAGGTCTGATAGGAAGCAAGTCCTGTTGAATTCAATGGGGCCTAATCCCAGGTAAGTAGCATGTGGCTTGCAACCTTAGATGCTCCCTTTAATTGGCAAGGCCAAGATTGAGATGGGGGGGGGTGCTATCTTGGATAATAATGAGAGAAGGTGCTGGGGTTTTTTTGGGGGGGGGATATTTTCTCTGGCGTCTTCAGGCGTCCTCTCCCACCAACCAACCCCTTTCAGTGGGTCTCCCACCTTTCCTCCAAGGCGCACAGGAGGGCGCCCGTGGCTCGCTCCCCCCCCCCCGACCTGCAATATTTTCTGCACCAGCCAACCAGGTAGGGCAGAGAGGCAGTGAGTGGCCCAAGACCCCCCGGGAGCACAATGGCGGGCAGCGCCACCATGGCACCATTGTCACCACAGCGAAGCAGGGCAGCGCCCTGCAAAGGATGTGCAAGGCCGCATCTTCTGCATAGCCTCTCCCCTCCCCAAGCAACTTGGGGGCCTCTGGGGGAAAGGATGGGGTGCGCTGGGTCGGCGGGACCCCAGCTGTGCTGCTGAGTGGGGGGGGGGGCTTGATCCCCGCATATCCGCGGAGCTGGGGGTGAAATCAGGCCGTACATCCGGGGTGGGGGAAGCGGGGAGGGCGCCTGAGCCTGACCAGCCATCAACCTCCTCTCCATCTCCTCCGCCTCCTCCTGCATCCCGGCTCTGTTGCCATGGCAACGGCCAGGCGGTGGCTGCCGGCGGCCCGCGCGAGCGTCTGCCCGGGGCTGCAGCAGGAGCCGGAGCGGGCAGCGCCTCTCTGGGAGGCCGGCGGGACGACCCCGGGCGGGACGACCCCCGCCCGCCCCTCCGCGCACCAGGTAGGGAGAGGGATGGGTTCCCTTGAGCTCCGGGGGAGGAGCGGGGCGAGGAAGGACTCCACCCGGGGCTGCCTGGGGCCCGGCCAGGCTCTCCCAGCAGCGGTACCGACGGGGGGGGGGCGCGCGATCTGGGAGAGGGGGTCCCCGAAGCCAGCAGCTGGGCAAGGCAGGAGAGAACCCCCCCTCCCCAACCCCGGCAGGAAGGCCAGCAAGCTTCTCACAGGGTTGCATGGATGGTGGGTTTTTTTTGGGGGGGGGTCCTCTGTGACCCTCCCTGAGCGCGCTGGCTGGGGCTGAGGATGGGAGCTGGAGCCCAGGCACGTCTGGAGGGCCACAGGTGCGCCCCCGTTCTTGGCAGCAGGTGAGGCGCTCTGCTTCTCTGCCAGCCTGCGCGCAATTGCGCGCGTGTGCCCAGAGGCCAGATGCGTCCCGCTCAGCAGCCCAACCAAGACGGGGGGACGGGGGGGGGCAGCTCAGGCCATTGCTGGACGCCCAGCCGGAGGAGGCCGTGGGGCTCAGCAACCTTTCCAAGGGGGCTAGGCGGATTCAGGGAGAAGGAGGAGGAAGAGGAAGAGGGCTCTCGATGGCGCCTCGCCAGGATGGCTCTGTCTTGCCTCCCCAGTGGAGGCCGGAATACCAGTTGCTGGAAGCCACAGGAGGGGAGAATGGGGCTCTTGCGTTGGAATCCATCTAGTTCGCCCCAGGGAGAAGAGGGTTGGGGACTAGATGGGCCCCCGCTTTGGCCTGATCCTGCAGGCTCTTCTTATGGCCTCCTGAGACAGCGCCCTGATGCCCAGGCAGGAGCCTGGATGTGACCCAGCCAAACTAGCCATGGGAAGGCCCAGCAGTAGAGACAAACCGGGGAAATGAAGAATATATTTCCACTTCAGAATATGCGTAGCTTCCCAGAGTTTCTTCAAGGGGAGAAAAAGGACATTTTCCTTCTTATTTTTTTTATTGTAGTGTATTGACATCCCACCTTTTACTCCAAGGAGGTTGAGGTGATGCAAAGCCCCCCCCCCAGTCTAATCCCCCCAACAACCCTCTGGGGTAGGTTAGGCTGAGGCAGCGACTGGCCCCCAAGGTCACCCAGTGAGCTTCATTTCCGAAAGGGAGATTCGAACCCTGATCTTAGTCTGGCACTGTAACTATTATGCCACACTGGCAAAGGGCAAGGTGTTTTTGGTTTTTTAAAGAATATCTTATGCTGCCATTTCCTCCATTTAAAAAAAAGCAATGTTTTGATATAATAATGCTGCAAAATTCCTAGACCTGCAGGTTAATGGTAACCATCTGAGACCTGCCAAGTCTTACAGGGATGCAGGCAGCAGCTGCTTTATACTGTGCAGTCTAGTGTAGTATTGTAGACACAGGCTGGCAGCAGCGTTCCAGCGTTTCAGGAAGAGGGCATCCCCACGCCTGCCTGGGGATGCCAGGACCACCAGGGGCTGAGCCTGTGCCCTTCTGCATGCACAGCAACCAGGAGGCTCGTCTTATGCTTTTGTGGAACCTCCAAGCCCAGAGACAGTCTACCTGAGTCTCACCGGGGGGGGGGGGGGAGGCAGGGAATCTCATTTAGATTCTTAGGGTGAGAACAGGTTGCTGGACCAGGCAGGGTATTGGCCTGGCCCACCGGGGCTCTTCTAATCTTCTTGTGTTGCGCTCTCTCTGCCCCCCATGCAGCCAGGCTCCCCTCCTCCAAGGCCGCCATGTCCCCTGGCAAGGCCAAAGCGGGGCCACCCCAGCCGCTGGTCTTCGCAGCCCACGAGATGGAGTGCAAGATCTGCTATGAGCGATTTGACGGGCGCGGCCGCCGCCCCAAACTGCTGAGCTGCCGCCACCGCGTCTGCGCTCGCTGCCTGCGCAAGATGGTGGAGGTGGGCGAGCCACCCGGGACCCTCAGCTGCCCCTTCTGCCGCCAGGAGATGCCCCTGCCGCCGGACAGGGACGTGGGGCGCCTGCAGGACGACGGGCAGGTCCTGGCTTTGCTCAGCTGCCGCGAGAGGGCCCGGAAGCAAGGAGGGGGCGCCAGGGTCGGGGGGGCGGCCCCCTCCCCGGAGGTGCTGTTGTGCCCCAGCGTCCTGGAGCCCTTTGCAGAGGGCGGGCACAGCTCCTCCTCGGACTGCCTGGTCATCACCCTTCTGGAGGTGCCCGAGGACATGGCGGCCCCCGAGGGGGTGGGGGTCCTGGACGTCATGCGCCTCTACCGCTCGCCCAGCCTGGCCTCGCTGCCCTGCTACGGCCCCCTGGGCAAGTGCCAGCCCTGCGCCACGTGGCGCGCCTTTCCGCGTTTCCTGGTGGGCGTCCTCTGCCTGGTCTACTTCAGCTCTCTGCCCTTTGGCATCTACCTCCTGCTGGTGGAGCGTCTCAACCTGGGCATCGTCCTGGTGAGCCTCGTGCCCTCCACCCTCATCCTCTGCGTCTTCTACAGCCTCTGCCAGTGCTTCTGCCACGAGATCTTCGACTTGCCTTCTTGAGTCGGGCAGTGGGGGACAGGGGGAGATCTGGAGGGCAGGGGCCAATGCCAGCCCCCCCCCCGGAGCCTCCCGCCAGCACCCAAGAGACAATTCGCCCTCCCTGTCCTCCCCGAATCTCATGCCATTCCAACCGCCCTTCCTGGAAGCAGATTTCAGCAGCATTGCCCTCCTCTCCCTGCAACGGCCTGGTTGTGGTCTGGTTGCCAACCAACCAAGGGCAGTGCCAGCCTCGGAAGAGAGCCCTCCCGTGTTTCAGAGCTGGAAAGGCAATGATGCGCTTCTTCAGACATGGACGATGGACTCTTAGGATGGCGAAGGATTGGCCAAGCGTTCATGAGAACTATGTAGCAACCTGGCTGTCCGAGGAATTTATTTGTCTCCAAAGATATTTGCAAAGGCAAGAATGCCGTAATTTCACACATAGATGTTTGTTAGTCAGAGATCTTGGTCCACAAATCATAAGATCTTCAAATCCGATTCATTCTGACAAAACTAGGAGTTCTCAAGTACTGTACAACCACATTGAGGCAGCCGGATGATTTATAGCTGGCAGGTTGTACGAATTTATTGCTCACCGGCCCCCTTCAGGAAGTAGCAGACAGTTCTGTGGAGCAGGAAGAGGAGGGAGGGGGCTTCCGTCGCTGTTGGCCACACGGCTAAGCAGAACCTCAATGTGCCAGGGCAGTCAGTGTTCCTGTCAACAGCAGGTGGCGGAAGAAGCCCATTGCCTCCCTGCCTCCCCCTTTCAGCTTCCTGAGCACGCTTTGAGGATGCTGAGTTGGGGGGGGGGACGCGCCTTTGTCTCTGCTGCTCTTTGGGAAAACAGATTCTGCCCTGTTGAAAAGCTGCCTCATTGGTGGGGACCATGGGGGGGGACCCCCTCTGCCACATGTCTCTGGTGGAACTGGGAATGGCAGGGGGACAGGATACGGCCCCCACCCCACTGAGCAACTGGGCCTGGGGGTGATGTGGGAACAGCCACCAGTCTTCTGCTGGCCCCTGCACCTTATGTATTTATTTTATTTTATTTCTTGCATTTAGGGGCCACGTTTTTCCTCCAAGGGGGTCAAGGGGGCATATATGGTTCCCACCCCCATTGCCACTTAATCCCCACAACAACCCTGCGAGGCAGGCCAGGCTGAGAGGAAGTGCGACCGGCCCCCAAGGTCACTCTCTGGGCTTCATGGCCGGAGTGGGAATTCGAACTCTGGTCTGTACTGGATTCTCATCCGGCACTCGAACCACCGCACCACGTTGGCTCATCGCATGTCCTACTGTGGCAACCTGCCAGCCCCTTGATGTAGAATCCTAGACTTGTATGGTTGGAAGGCACCTAAAAGGTCCACTAGTCCAACCCCTTGCACATGGACAATTTCCCCAGAGGGGAGAGCACCCCACACCCAGTGGGTCCAGGGAGACTGGGGACCTCTTACAAACAGGGCAGGAGGTCATTTCAAAAGCCAGAGAGACTCCCTGCAAGTTCTGCAGAGTGCTTAGCAACCTGTGGGCTCAAGGGGCAAGCCTGAAGGGGGGAAAGGGTGTCCCACCTAGGGGAGTCAGACCCCTGGCCTTCATCACATCCTCCTCCCCCTAAGTCCTGGTCTGCTCATTTCCTTACACTCACCAAAGGGTTAAAGGAAAAGCTGCTTATTTTGGTTTGCAAGTCCCGGTGCCTGGTGAAAACTGGCAGAACAGCACCTCCTGTTGTCTGTGTCCTCCATTGGTTCAGAAATAAATGAAATAAAACAAAACTTGCCAGTATTGTAATGCCATTCTGCAAATCTATGGCGCAACCGCATGAGGAGTGTAAGTGTGCAGCTCCGTTTGCTCACCTCAAAAGGGCTGGAGAAGGTTTGTCAAGGGGTTGGAGGGACTCTCCTATGAGGGACGGTGTTTGGGGCTTTAAAAGGCAAGTGAGAGAGACAGGTTTTGGGACATAAAAAAGGAAGCGCTTCTTCCCAGAGTTAAATGGGGATTGCCAGGACAACGGAGGGTGATTTAGGGAGCTGATATCCTGTTGGAGAGTAGGCTTTCAGGGGTCAGCAAACTTTTTCAGCAGGGGGCCGGTCCACTGTCCCGCAGACCTTGTGGGGGGGCCGAACTATATTTTGGAAAAAAAATTAAATGAACGAATTCCTATCCCCCACAAATAACCCAGAGATGCATTTTAAATAAAAGAGCACATTCTACTCATGTAAAAACACACTGATTCCTGGACTGTCCGTGGGCCGGATTTAGAAGACAATTGGGTCGGATCCAGCCCCCGGGCCTTAGTTTGCCTACCCATGGCAGAGGAACCTGGAGCTGCCACAACCTTTTCATCCAGTAGAGGTCATGCAGAGCTGATTTTCTTTTTCCCCAGGGATGTTTGCAAATTTTCACTTCCTCCCTCTTGGTTTAACCCCACAAGCTGCTCTGTGTAGGGCACTTTTTAGTACCGACACAAACTGTCAAAACAGATCCCCTCCATCGTCACACCTCAGGATGAAAAAGTGTGCAACTCGGTCCTCTAAATCTGCACCCCTTCCAGAATCTAACACCCCTCCCCTTGCCAGAAACCGAGCCTGATGAGGAACGGTTGAAGGAGCTGGGCATGTTTAGCCTGGAGAAGAGGAGACTGAGAGGAGATCTGAGAGCCACCTTCAAATATCTCAAGGTCTGTCCCATGGAAGATGGAGCAGGCTTGGTCCCAAACTAATATAATCCAAATTGCAACAAAAGGGATTGCAACTGAACATGAGGAATAACTTTCTGACGGTACAAATTGTTCAGCAGTGGAATGGACTCTCTTGGAAGGTGGTGGGTTCTCCTTCATTGCAGGTTTATAAGTAGAGTTTGGCCAGTCATCTCTCAAGTTTCCTTGAGCTGTCATTCCTGCATTGCAGGGGTTGGACTAGTTGACCCTTGGGATCCCCTCTATTTCTATAATTCTAGGATTGTAGACTTTGTTGTAAACAAAATCTGCCCTTATTCCCTTATGGGGGACACAAGAGCCCATGTAGAGTCCTTTTGTAGGTTCTCCATCAGTAGGAGAAAATAACAGAGGCCAACAAGAGAATATTGAGAAGCAAAGCGGCTAGTAAGCCTGATCTTTATTGAACTGTTGCAACAGGGTCTTCACTCACCACACGCAGGAGAAGGAGGACCCAGAACCCAGGTGTGCCTGCCCTTATATAGACATTTTAAATTGCCTTCCCTAGAGCTCAAGACCACCCCTCCATACATCATATTTCCGCGCTGGTCATGGGACCAAGACGGCTCTGGTTGCCCTAACAGATGATCTTCGTAGACAGCTGAATCGAGGCGGGTCGGGGCTGCTGATTCTTCTAGATCTGTCAGCAGCTTTCGACATGGTTGATCATGAATTTCTGGACCACCGCCTTGCCGACGTGGGGATCCAGGGCACAGTCCTTCAATGGCTGCGCTCGTTTCTCTCTGGTCGGGGACAGAGGGTGGCGCTTGGGGGGGAATTGTCATCGCGCCACTCCTTGGTATGTGGAGTACCTCAGGGTGCGATACTCTCCCCGATGCTTTTCAACATCTTTATGCGCCCCCTCGCCCAGCTTGTTCGGAGTTTTGGGCTGGGTTGCCATCAGTATGCTGATGACACCCAACTCTATCTGTTGATGGATGGCCATCCTGACTCAGCCCCAGATACACTGACCAGATGTTTGGAAACTGTGGCTGGATGGTTACGTGGGAGCCGGTTGAAGCTAAATCCTTCGAAGACAGAGGTCCTGTGGCTGGGGCGGGGCGATATGGGATTGGGGGGGCAACTCCCATCTCTTGCGGGGGCGCAATTAGTGCCAGCACCGTCCGTTAAGAGTTTGGGTGTAATCTTCGATACCTCCCTCTCCATGGAAGCGCAGATTGCAGCTATAACAAAGGCGGCATTTTTCCATCTCTGCCAAGCTAAGCAGTTGGCTCCTTACCTCTCTCGCCCTGACCTAGCCACTGTGATCCACGCGACGGTCACCTCCAGACTGGATTATTGTAACTCGCTCTACGTGGGGCTGCCCTTGAGACTGACCCAGAAACTCCAGCGGGTGCAGAATGGGAGGGGGTCCTCGCTGCGGGATCACATTCACCCGGTGCTATACCAGCTGCACTGGCTCCCGGTGGAGTACAGGATCAGGTTTAAGGTGCTGGTTTTAACCTTTAAAGCCCTATACGGCTTAGGACCCTCGTACCTACGGGACCGCCTCTCCTGGTATGCCCCACAGAGAAACTTACGGTCTTCAAATAAAAACATCTTGAAGGTCCCAGGCCACAGAGAAGTTAGGCTGGCCTCAACTAGAGCCAGGGCTTTTTCGGCTGTGGCTCCGATCTGGTGGAACGCTCTGTCACAAGAGACCAGGGCCCTGCGGGACTTGACACCTTTCCGCAGGGCCTGCAAGACAGAGCTGTTCCACCAGGCCTTTGGCAAGGGCACAGCCTGACTCCCTCCTTCGGCAATCTTCGCAGAGCTCTGGCCCAATGGTTGCCAGTGGCTTGATTTGAATTAATTTTATAATGAATGATTTTAGAGTGTTGTTTGTGCTGTACTTTTGTACTGTTTTATTGTTTTATTGTTGTTAGCCGCCCTGAGCCCGGCTTCGGCTGGGGAGGGCGGGATATAAATAAAATTTATTATTATTATTATTTATTATATACCTACATCACAGAAAAGGTGGTCTACAACAGAAATTTGAATGTTGTTGTTTTTCCTGTCTGCCAGGTTATCTGATAATGCCTTACCTGATTGCCTTTCCTGGCAGTCTGGTCATTCCTTTGAGATGGTGATTTCCCAATTCCTGAGACAATGGGAAGGTTCCCTCACCCCCTCCCTCCTTGCAGAGAAAACATTTGGTCAGTTTGGGCGTCAAAATGCTCCAGACATGTGGTCCCCATATCTATGTACGTGATTGGTTGGTACATTTATGAACATGCATTATATATATAAGACCTTAATTTTTTAATCTCAACTTGGAAGGAATCCCAGGGGTCATCCAGTCCAACCCCGCGCAATGCAGGACTCACAGCTAAAAAACCCCTGGCATGTGGCCACCCAAACTCTGCTTGAAAAACAAAGGAGAGTCGACTATCCCAGCTACTTTCAACTGTATTCGCACGATGTTTTAATTCTTGTAAGCCCCTCTGGGACCTGAGGCTGAAGGACAGGCGAAGAACAAGAACAACAGCAGCAGCTCTTCTCTTCCGCTTCCCCACCAGCCAGACAAGCCTTTCCAGGGCTCCTCCTTCCCTAGCTGGACAAAGGGGTCTCCTCTCACCCCATTTCGATGCCCTGCAGCTTCTCAAAGAGCCCCCCTGCCGGGCTGGGCGCTGGTGGCCAGTTCAGCCACACGCCAGATCTTGGGCTTGGTGGGCAGCTCCTGCGCCTCAGCAGTGGCTGGCAGAGGAGATGGAGGCAAGCCTTGCCACCGCCCGGCCTTCAGCCAAGGGGCCGCTGTTTCTGCCAGAGAGCCATTCTGGGGGAGCTTTGTCCTCGTCGGAGGGGTGCTGGGGGCTGCTCTTTCTGCGCTGGCCTCTCCCTCGCTGTCCTCCTCTTCCTCCTCCGCCTCTCCCTCGGCCTTCGGGGCCCGGGGCGCCCAGCAAGCCCGGTTCTCCTTCTTGAGCCTCCGGCGGGCGTTGGCGAACCAGGTGGAGACCTGCGTCAGGCTCATGCGGCTGACGATGGCCAGCAGCACCTTCTCCCCCTTGCTGGGGTAGGGGTTCTTGGGGTGCTGGCCCAGCCAGGCCTTGAGGGCCGCCGTGCTCTCCCGGGAGGCGGCCGCCTTGCCCCGCGACGGGTCCTCGGGGGTGCCTGGCCGCAGGAGGGGCGAGTAGAGCAAGGGCGCCGGCCACAGCAGGGGGGGTCCGCCAGGCAGCTCGCAGGGGGCGGCAGAGACCTGGAGCACACAAAGGCAAGAGCAGCTGTGAGAAGCAGGAACCCCAAACAACTCCGGGTGTTGCAGGAATTTATGTATAGGTTGGGGGGGTTGCCCCTCCAGCAGATATCATGCACATGCAGCCCACTACCAAAACCAGCACAATCACTTTGTGACTTGTCCCCACAAAACACTTCATCGCAGTTTCTTCCTATTCAAAGGGCCTCTGCTGCACGATACCAAAAGTGAGAATTCACTGATAAATGTATCTCTGTACTGGCTCACTGGGAAAACTTCAGAAATTCCTATAGACATGTGAGCTCAGCTCCTCAGCAGCCCCTCTGCCTGAGCGATAATCCCTGGCCTCCTGATACCTGAGTGCCAGACAGGTAGCCATTCCTGAACTAACAAACCCAGATGAAGACAAAAGGGTGGGATGAACTTGGCTGGGAAACAGGGAACTGTAAAGATCTCTTTTGTTCCACTTGATGGGTGTTTGGTGGAGGGCAAGGGGAACCGTGGAGCAGGGTCCAGGATGCTCAGATTACTGCCACCAGACCTCCCCTTTTATGATGTAACCATGATGTATGAGTGATGTAGTTTGGGGGGGTGTGTAACATGGGGATTAAAAAGGTAAAGGGACCCCTGATCATTAGGTCCAGTCGTGACCGACTCTGGGGTTGCGGCGCTCATCTCGCTTTATTGGCCGAGGGAGCCGGCGTCCAGCTTCTGGGTCATGTGGCCAGCATGACTAAGCCGCATCTGGCGAACCAGAACAGCACACAGAAACGCCGTTTACCTTCCCGCCGGAGCGGTACCTATTTATCTACTTGCACTTTGACGTGCTTTCGAACTGCTAGGTTGGCAGGAGCAGGGACCGAGCAACGGGAGCTC